AGATGGAGTCTTGCTCTGTAGCCAAGGCTGGAGTACAGTGGCGTTATCTTGGCTCACTGCAACCTCTGCTGCCCAGGTCCCAGGTCAAGCGATTCTCCTGCCTCGGCCTCCCGAGTAGCTGGAATTACTCATGGGCCACCATGCCCAGCTAATTTTTGTGTTTTTAGTAGAGACAGTTTCATGATGTTGGCCAGGCTGGTCTCAAACTCCTGACCCCCGTGATCTGGCCACCTCCCAAAGTGCTCAGATTATAGGCATGAGCCACGGCGCCCGGCCCCATGGTGCTGTTGTTTAAGTACACACATAAATATCCAGAAGCAATATGCAGAGTGATTTTTAACTCTCCTGAGATGAAATATTTCCATCTTTTTTGGTTTTGTGGGTTTCTTGGTGTGGTGTTGAGAATTCTTTCCACACACCAAGGCTGTAAGGCTGTTCTGTGAGTTCAGCTTTTTCCTGTTCTGTGTAAGACTCGTGTACAGAGTAAGGTAGAAATCTTAACTGCATCTTACCCACCCAGACAAGCAGTTACTCTTCTTCCCTGCCTCACTCCTGCACCTATGGGGTGAGGCTTTGCCTGGCAGGATGTGACCTGCCCTGAACACATTTCCTCTAAGCTACTGTTCAGCAGGTCTTGGACCATGGCTTTCCTCCAGAGATTTTAGGATCGCCTTCTGTTCCCCTCTCAAAGAGTCCAGTTAGGATTTTCAGTTGCACTGAATTTATGGACTTGGTTGGCATGTTGGCATCCTTGTCCATGAATATGGTACCGAACTATGAAATCATTGTCATTTGTGATCATTTGGGACTAGATTTGGTTTCAGCTATCACATAGGTTTTGGGGGATGTTTCCAAAAACCATTGTAGCTTACAAAGCTTTATGATTTTTTTAATCTATGGTTATTCCTTAGATCATAGGAATCACAGATGATCAAACCTTCTGCAAATACAAGTTTTGGTTCTTTCCTTTTGAATTTGTCTTGTCACTCCAGTGCTGCTGAAGACAGGCACGGGTAGGGCCCTTATCTGTGAAACTGTAAAGCATCCCGTGAGAGGGAAGGCTCCCGTTCAGAGTTGTTGCTGCTTTGATTTTTTCTGGCTGTTGCTCCGTCCTTGCTGGATGTGTGATTTGCGTTCTTTACTTTGTTGTTCTGTGTTATCCAGACTGTTGTCACCTTTGCTGTTTGTCAGTCTCTGAAACACTCTGCATAAAATAGGGACTTAAATGTTTGGAGTCACTCTGTTAAAATTAGGCCTGGTATCTTCTGATAGAGCAGAGACTATTTTACTAAATAAATCTGTGTTCTAAGTTTATTCTGGCCTTTTTCCAACAGTCTCCAAAAAAAAAAAAAAAAAAAAAAACACAGGCTTTCAGTTTAAGGATGCATTTTTAGGCCATAAAATGTTTTCCTAATCTGTATCAAATTGCCTTTAGGTCCTGGCTCCTTGGTCGTTATTCCCATGGGTTGGATATCATTTAGTCATGTTTATGTGCTGGTACAACAATTCAAAGGCCTGGGACCATTGTGGCCCACAGGAGAGGCCTTTGCTGGCTGCACTGGCGAGGGCTTTTGGGTACTGTGGGGCAGTGTGTGAAGAAGAGAGCACTCACCAGGCCTTGGGGCCCCTGCACACAGACGACACATCACCATCTCTGGTCTTTTCAGAGCAAAATCTGGAGCGGCAGGTGTTGCAGACGCAATGCAGACGACTGGAGGCCCGGCACTACAGTCTCAGCCTGACGGCAGAGCAGCTCTCCCACAGTGTGGCGGTGAGTTGGGAAGGTGGGAAGGCAGAGAAACCTTAAAACACACAGCCTTTTGAGTTTGGGTTCAAAAGCACCCATGAAGGTAAGTTTTAGAGATGTAATGTGCTCTTGAGAGCAAAATTTGGACTGTGTGCAATGGCTCACTCCTTTAAGCCCAGCCTCCCCAAGAGTTCAAGGCTGCAGTCAGCTATCATGATGCCAGTGCACTCCAGCCAGGGTACCAGAGCAAGAGCACTGTTTCTTAGTTTTGATTTTTTTTTAAGGGGAAAATTCAGGCAGCAGTTGACTATCTAGGATTTAGCTATAAGTAGGGAAATAACCTTTAACTTACAGCATGTTGATCTTGGAAGGGTAGGGATGCTGCTTGCAGAATCAATTACAGACTGTACCAGTCTCCCCTGCTGTGATGTGCACTTCAGGGGTGGGCAGCAGGGAGCTGTATTAGAGAAGGAACGTTGAAGTACCTGAAACCGTCTCACCACCCCTTAGCTCATAGCCGCACTGGCAGGACTGGTCCAGCAGATGTCCTTGCTTGGCAAAGAGGTCTCCGATCCCTCCCAAAGTTTTTACATCTGGGGCTTCCAAGAACTCCGAGTTTGAGCCAAGACAGCAGCAGACACCGATTCTCTAGGACTCTGTAAGAGCTCAGCAGAGAACATAGGCTGAGAAGGGGGACTTTGTAAGTCTTGCTCTGTTGCCCAAGCTGGAGCCTCAATCTCCTAACTCCAGGTGATCCACCCGCCTCAGGACATGAGCCACCACTCCCAGCCAAGACATTTCCTTTCCTTCCACCATGTTTGGGTACCACATGCTTGTTTTTACAGAAAAAACGGGTTGGTTTTGACACAGATTTCCCTCTCTCCAGGAGTTGAGGAGCCAGAAACAGAAGATGGTCTCAGAACGCGAGCGGCTCCAGGCGGAACTGGACCACTTACGAAAGTGCCTTGCCTTGCCTGCAATGCACTGGCCTAGGGGCTACCTGAAGGGATACCCCAGGTGACGGTTTCCCTTGCACTAGGCCGAACCTATAGTATAGAAATATTATCTATTTTATTACCTTGAATATTTAATATTTTTCACTGGGAGGTTTGAAGCTTAAAAAATGAGAATGTGCCATGCATGAAGCAAAGGATTCCAGGCTCCAGAAAAAGAATGAACTCACCTTGACTTCATTGCAACTGAATCACCTTTGTCATTCAGCGAGCAACCAATGTAGGATGCCATAGTTTCTTTTCACAGGCGGTTTTAGTTCTTCCTCTCCCACATTGTTTTTTAATCTGAACATGAAGGCTTCATTACCAACACTAAAACTTTATGATTTACAGCCCCCTGTGCATATGAGCGGATCACACCGGTTCTGTTCTTGTGTTGCCACGTTACTATGCCTCAAGCCAAGTCTGCTTTTGCGGCAGTGATGGGGTCAGTCTCATTCCTCCCCAGGAGTGAAACTTGCTTCACTGTAAAGAAGGTTGGGTGCATTGTAAGTAAAAAGGGCTTATTTGTTTCATTTACGTTCCTGCAAAATTTTCTTCAAAGCAACAAGTCCTAGGAGCACACAAAGCAACCCAAAGGCTTTTCCCTGGAAAAGCTCTTACCTAAAGAGAAAATGAATTCACAAACTGAAGGTACCTTTTTATTACTCCGTGGGGAGCATGTACAGAGCTCTGTGGATACACAGCTTCACACCCACCAGATTGTTACTACAGTGGGTGGGGTTTTCATACAGACGTAAATTTTGAGAGAAAAGTCAAAGGTGCTTCAGCCTTGTACTGTGTATATATATTAAAAAACAAAGTTTTGTATGTTTTTATTACTTTAACTATTGTTATAAAAAGCCTGCCATTTTTAATATGTGGTTTGGGGGATTTTTGTTTGTTTTTTCCTGTTGGGGGTTTTGTTTGTTGTTTTGTTTTTTTTGGGCAAAAAAAAAACCCCTTGCTTTTAGTGTTTGTACTGCTGCTGGTCAGGACATTAAAATATTGAAGTGTTTTTAAAAATTAAAGAAGAAGCAAAGTAAAAGAGCTTACCACTGGCGCCTGTGCGATCACTTCATTTTTAGCCTGAGTTGCACCAGAAGCTACCGTAGAAAGCCATGGGCCCCTGCTTACCTCCTCCACTCCCCCTTCCCCACCCCCAGCATCAGGACAAGCTAGTATCACCCACTGCTATCAAGGGGAGGGGGTAATCTGCAGAACCTGTGTGTAACAACCATGTGCACGCATGGGCGGGGGCTTTTAAAAGCCTTCGAGAAACGAAATGATTTCTGCGATAGAATCTAAGGTGTCTGAGAGCAGGTACAGAATACGAACGGCAGAGGCTTTAAATGCAAAGCTTTGTAAAAGCCTAAAGTAGGGCAAACAAGGTCTGAGCTGAACCCCTCCTTTTTGAACTTACTGTGACAAGCACAGGAACGGCCAGAACCTGGGCTCCTCACCCCAAGGCAAAGCACTAGGCGCATCCTTCTCCCAGCTGCTGCTTGTGGTAGTACTGTGGAGATCACAAAGGCATCTCTTGTTCTCGTGGGCCCTCGCCACTGACTGGTCCAGGGGTGGAGTCCTGAGCTCCGGGCAGGATGCCTGACCTGTGTGCTGGCTGCTCCGCACGGAGACCAGCAGCCAAGCCCTTGGCCCCAGCCCTTGCTGTGCAGAACAGCTTGCTGGCAGCCTGTCACTTTATCTGCCCCCACACAGTTTGCTTTGTAAGTCTGCCAAGAATCTTCCAGTTATTAGCAAACTCAAATAAATGTACCACCAGTATGAGCAGCAGTCAGCAAGCGCCTTGCTCTGCACAGAAGCAGCTGGAAGAGAACTCGGACTGTGCTACATGTAGGCCTCCCCACAAAAGACCACGGGGAGGTCAGCATGTTCCACAGGTGTTCAGAGGGAGTCCGCTACCAACAATCAGGACAAAAATCTTACTGGATTTCTCCACTGAAAACCTGCTTGAGGTTTCTGGTCTGAAGGCTTAGGAGTCACACCTTAGCACTTCCACTCTGAGGCCTCCCCCTCCATCACAGATGTCTCAATGCTTTTGCTACTTAGCTTTGTTAAGGGCCTTGGCTGAAGTAAAAGGGAAACACAGATCCGATAACTTAAAAACACAGCCCATCCCTTACCATCGAAGGAGCGCTCCCTTGGTGGCCTTTTCTGTGACAGCACAGGGGGCAGGTGGCACATTCAGAGGTCTGCCCGGGGAGGAGAGCAGTGTCCCTGTAGCTAGCAATAGCTGCCTTCTGCCCAGCCCTCAAGCTTCTCTCCTACTGTCTCCCCATCCTTCCACCTACTATGGTGATCTCCAAGTACTCTTACTCAAGTAATACGACAATCAGAATACAAACCAGTAAGACAACACAAATCAGCTAAGAAAAAGCTAAGAAGCCTCTCTCAAAAATGAAAGCACACCACTAAGACACAGCACCCAGTCACAGCTCTCCCATCCGCCAATTACTTCCATACTTCGCAAACTTGCTCAACAGTAGAATCCAAATCTGTTTTCAGCTGGGCTCTGAAGCTTTTTGTTCAGCTCTTTTGTGTTGAGTACGTCAAATCCACTCTGGAGCGGATTATGCCACTTGTGTGTCAGGCTGTCCATGAAGCCCTCAGCTTGGTCCCTTTGACCATCTTCCTCTGTTACCTGGAAGGCAGCTGCCATCTATCCTCCACAGAGGGATACCTTCTAATAGTCAATTAGCTGGTTTCTCGTTGAAACCATTTATTACTCTTGTTTCATATAATCAGAGCCAGACTGACACAAAATACCATGTTCCTAATCCAATGTCTCAGATATGCGAACGAGACAGTCTTGTCCACGCTGTAGTCTATATTCTAACCGCAAAGGAACAAAGCACTGAATCGGCACTAACATTTGGATAGGTTGTACCCCTAAGAGAATTCAGAGAGTATCTCAAGGAGCCCACACCTGCAGCAGCAAAGGATTCTGACACACGGAATCCAGTTTGTAGCCGAATGGTATTTTCTTCAAGCTCATAATACTGCCAAATCTCAAAAATTAAGCTGAATTTCAAACCAGATACTCCCCTTTCCCTGAGCCACACGTTTCACCCAAGTGTAGAAAATTCCAGGGATCTACCACAAAATGGAGATGGTCAACACAACTGATTCTGTTGCTCTTTCAACTGTGTATTAGCCACTTAGCAGTCTCTATACTCTTTCAAGTAACCAAGCTGTTGACTTTCTTACTACTTGCAGTAGCCTGTCCCCAACTTTTCAATGCAGTGCTTAACCTAAAAAAAACTCCTTAAACTCTGCCTTGACCTGAGGAAGACCATGCTCATTGGTGTTGTTTTGTACGTACCCTGTGCTTAATTCTAGAACAGTAAACCCATACGCAGGTGGGAGGGAGGAACACCGGTGCCTCGGTCACTCTGGGGGCAGTTTAGATGCTGTGAAATTAAACCTGTTCTAAGTGTACTTGTTTGAATTAATTGTATTGTAATATTATTTGTTGAATGTAGTAATTAGGTATTTATGAATATATTGCTGTAATTTCTGACAACATCCAAAAAATAAAATCTTCCTAAATCATGTTAAGAGGAAAATCTTTTTTATGATATAATAAAACAAGGCCAAACAATAAAAAGTTCAACAGCTATAGAGCTCCACAGGTAAAACACACAGACAGATGCAGCTGCCTCAACTGGCTCAGGTTTTAAGAGCAGGGCATTAGGATCCCTCGCCCTCCACAACAAGTGGTGTCATTTGCAAAGATTTCCAGGTGAAAGCTGGAGAATTCCCAGGAAGGGTGAAATGAAACAAGTCCTATGACCTGAATGAACTCTGAACAGCACCTAAAATTATGGAGACCTCACACCTTCTGGCCCCCACTCTTCCAGGTCTGACCCTTCAGGGTCCGAATAACAACCAACACCTGCCTGGCGGGGACACGTGGGCAGCAACATGGAGCAGTAGTGCACAGGCACACTGCACACTGGAAGAGGGGAGACCCTGGGCGGTCTTTAGGCTTAGCCTGTCACACATGTGCGTTCTCAGAGCTCTCCAGACTGCATCCAGCCAAAAATAAGCCAGGCATGGTAGCTATTGCTTGGGACCCCAGTGCTTTGGGAGGTGAAGTGTGGAGGATTGCTTGAATCCAGGAGTTCGAAGCTGCAGTTAGCTACGATCACGCCACTCGACTGCAGCCTGGGTAAAAGAATGAGACCCCATCTCAAAGTTTCTTTTCAAGCCAGTTGCAGAACCGTCTATCCATTGCATGATGCTGGACAACTTCACCTCTCAAGGTAATGTAATTTCTACCAAGGACCTAGCAGTTCCAAAATGCTGCAAATAATTTTCTCTTAGGGAAAAAATAATTTCCCCTGAGCCCACGGTTACCTACAACAAAAAGTCCTTTCCTGGCCCAGCACGGTGGCTCACACCTATAACCCCAGCACTTTGGGAGGCCGAGGCAGGTGGATCACAAGGTCAGGAGCTGTAGACTAGTCTGGCCAAAATGGTGAAACCACATCTCTACTAAAAATACAGAAAAACCAGCTGGGCATCACCTGTAATCCCCGCTATTCAGGAGGCTGAGGCAGAGCAGCACTTGAACACTGGACACAGAGGTTGCAGTGAGCTCACCCTGCGCCACTGCATGACTCTGTCTTAAAAAAAAAGTCCTAAGTCCATGAAAAGCAGCGTTAAAAGTCTGCTTTTCTTCTACCATTGTCTTAAGTGTCACTCGTGCTTAATACATCGTATTGTATTTTCCTGACTGTCCTCTTAAACCTGAGCCACACATAGCCCAGGGCATGAGACACCCAGGTATTGGTCTGCAGTTTCCAGTGGACTGCTGTGCACCTCGGTTTAGTTGACTGGGTCATCTCAGCCACAGGGCTGTCCTTTGACTTGGTAGTTATGCAGGACAAAAACTTAAGAGTCAGAGCCGAGTCCGTTTTTATTGTGGGTCCGGGCTCATTTTGGTCAGCAGCCTTAGCTGCACCATCTGCCATCCTCTGGGAGCCACCTCTATGGGAGAGTCTAAATTTAGCCCACGAAAATTAGGATCAAAAAGGGGGGAAAAAAGCCCTTGGCCACATGGCGCTCCCGCTGTATTTACACCTAACGGTCACTGAACATTTACCCAAGTGTGGCGGTTTCTACACAGGAGACCCAAGTGGCCCTGCTAGAGAGAATAACTTACTTGCCTAAAGCTTTTTTCTTCCTCAAAAGGGGGAGGGGGAGAAAGGCTAGTTTCTAGAATCAGATGTGGAATTGAAGACTGTCCCAGGGAGCTAAGTTTTAACGACAAATCACAAACTTGCTTCTCCAGCAATATCACGAATCCATTCCTTGCACCTTCACACGTTTTTCATGCATTCAAAAGTATTTCCAGAGCCAGAACCACAAGTACCTCATGTCCTGAGCACTCATGCCCCAGTAAGCCGCCTGCACCAGGCCTTTCTCTAGAAGTCCTGAGACTGGGTACTCTCCGAAGGCTGGAGGTTTGTGCGTAGTTTGTACATGTGGTTCAGCGCTTGTGTGAGGAAAGTCCCGCTGGTGTTGATCTCCATCAAGGTCAAGTTATCCAGCTAAAACAAGAAAACAGACCAAGCTGGCAAACGAGTTTTTGATTTTGAGAAAAAGGCAAACTCTACAGAATAAAAATAAGAAACCAATGAATCTTTTAAAAAGCACAGTAGTAATGCCTGCCTACAGTAGCCTCAGCAGACAGGATGCCATGTGAAATTCTGCGACATCAAGGCCACCAGCACTCAGGCGAGGTGGCACCTACCTTGGCATGTGCCTCCTGCTGTCTCACAAAGCTGTCAGCAGACACTCGGAGTTTGGCTATACGAGTGTCCCACATGTCCTTGACGAGGGTCCGGATTTCGTCTGCCTTCGGGATGTTATCTGAAGCACTGAAGGAGCAAGGGGGAGAGTCAGCCAGGGGACACTCCATTGACTGGGGCAACGCTGGGTAGAGTGGCTCTTCCCAGGCAAAATACTCCGGCCATTCCAAACCCACAAAGTCTGTTTTGCTTTGTTTTCAATTCTAAGGATGTAAAGATTTGTAGCAGTTAAGCTTCGTGCCAAGGGCATTCCAAGTGATCCACGTGGAGTATCTTTTGCTCACATTAACCACCCTGTGGTAGGCTGCTGAATAGGACCTCTGTTTCCCTAAGAAAATTAGTAGCGAATCAGCTCTAAGTCAGAAGCCTCCGTCTCAGAGTAACAGCGTTCCCTGCTGCTAACCTCCATCTACAAGGACTCGGTTTCAAGGGCTGGCTCAAAGGTTGAGTTCTATTGCCCCTTATGTACCGAGTGTTGAGGAGGATCCCTATACCCCACGAGGGATCTGGGGCTCACAGCCCAGAGAAGGAAAACATCAGCTCTGAGCCAGGTACTCGGCTTAGCACATTACCTGGCATTTCTACCCTCACCAAAGCCCTGAAGAGAAGGGGCTCTCCTGCTCTTCAGAGAAGACAAAACCAAGTTTCAAAACTCAAAGAAGAAACTGCAAATTAGTATCCAGTGAGCACACCTACACACCGCAGAATTCTGGCTGGAAGTTCAAAGTCAGCAAGGGCTGAAGGAAGGCTTTCACAAAGTCGAGGCTCCCTTTGTGAAACACTTTGAACCTCTGAAGAAAAACTACAAGATAAAAGCAAAAGCTAATACTGTTCATCACTAGGCATTCCACGCTATGCTGGACATTCTCTCTCCATATGATACAATTAACTTACGACCATTAGGTGGCAAATCACTGGTACAAAATTTATGTAGTGAGTTTTATTTATAAACCCCAACATTCAGATCTCGTGCTCTGAACAGCAGGTTAAACAAAGGACCCCAACTCCTTGTCAACTGAACTGCAGAACAAACAAAATTAAGTCCCTTAGCCGAATGAACTATTAAACAAGGTTTTTGATAAAGACTATATATATCATATATTTAGCTTCAAAACATGAAAAATGAATAGGCCCCCTCACCTAGCTAATGGCAAATCCTGCCCTAGTCTGTTGATAGATCCTCTCCCTTCCAGCTACCATCCCCACTGCCACTGCACTCTCTCAAGTCCCTCTGAGGCCGCACACCCCTCCCAGAGGCTGGCCATTGCAGGAGAATCTATGGCTCCACTCCGCTGCTCCCACAAATGTACGCAACATGCTCAAACACCTCTGCTTGCCTGGCTACCCCAGACCCTTTCACACTCTGTGTCTTCACATTCCTCAGCTCCTCCTGCCTCACTGCCCTTTTCCCTCCCATCCACCCCTGTGGGTCTGTGCTCCCAGCAAACCTCTATGAACCCTTCTCTGCCACGACCTGGCCTTGTTTGGGCCTGATGGACTATGGAGAGTGTTTGTCACAATGAAGGTTCACTATGGGTTCACAGACCTACATGGCTACCAGGAACCAGACCTACAGGACAAATTCCACTGCTGAGTCGAATTCTTGGTGCATTGCTGGTTCTCAGCTTTTACGAAATGCATGGCTGGCTGCAGCCTGCTATCGGCCTCCACACAAGCCCATGTTGCCTACCCCCAAGTTTTCCTTTAGACTCAGCAGTGCCATTCAGGGGGTCCGGCCCTTCCCACTGCTCTGCAGCACACAGTAGTACTAGGGTCCCAATTTTTGATTCTAGTTCAGCTCCTGAACCCAGTTCAAGGATGCTCGGGGAGCCTCAGAAGTTTACGTTGTACAAATTACGTTCTACATATCTCCCAAGCAAGATGATCCACACTTGTCAGCCTTTACCTGTTTCACTCTTTCACTCAACAGACATGAGCCCCAGGCATCTTACTGGGGACATATGCATACAGGAGCCAGCCCCTGCCCATTCAAAATGGGTACATGTGATGGCACAGCCAGACAAACAAGAAAATCACAACTGGCAAATGCCATAGCAACGTGTAGAGCTGCCAAGAGAACATGTGTACTCAACCCGGAGAGACATATAATGCTAACGTAAGGAGGTGAGCAGAGGCAGGCAAAGGACGGACTTACAGGGCAAAAAACAGTACACACAAAGTCAGAATGCTTCAAGAAGTGACGGGCCAGTGTGAGCCTGAGCCCTCCAGAAGCAGAGGAAAGAGCCGCAGAGAGGGGTCAAAGAGGAAGGAGGGGCACGCACCAGGCTGCACACTGCTAGAATGCCATGTGCAGGACTTTATACTAGAACTCTGGAAGACTGAGGATTTTAAGCAGGGAGTCAGATGGCAGTTCTGCCTTTCAAAGGCCACTCTGGCTGTGATGTGAGGAATGAATGGGAGGCTGATAGGAGCCAGTACCAGGTTACTACATGATGATTTTGCCAGGCAGTGGGCTTGCCTGCAACTCAGGGGCAGAGGCAAACGGGAGCCCTCTGGCGTTTCCTGTGAAAGACCCCCAAAAACTCAAATCCACGTATTCCAAGGAGAAACGAGTGAAGCTGTGCAAAATAGAACACATACGTGAAAGGACGGCTACTGCCGAGGTGCCGGTGGCTTACACCGGGGCCCAAGGTGGAGTGACGTGAGGCAGGACAAAAAGAGCCAAGGGCTTCACTAGGGGGTGGAGAGAAAGAAAAATAAGAGACAAAAAGGGAAAAAACAGAGAAATGACACACACAGATGGACAGAGAACGCCTGGCAGGTGTGTGCACACAGATGACCTCCTTGTCACGGGCCTAACAGGGGCCACGGCTGCCACTTTCTATGGCAATAAGCAGGGAAGCGGAGAGGAAAGGTGAGGGTAAGAGCATGGTGGTCCAGCCTCGGCTGTGGCCCTAAGAGGGGTATCTACTCACTGATTTAATAGCAGCTTGGTAAGTTCCATGTAGTAAGGGCTGGGCATTCGGGTGAAAGTTTCTTCCTTTCGTTCATGATCCCTTATCTTCTCCAACTTTTCTGAAATTCAGAAGTTAATACATTTTACCATCATTATAAATAAAATATTAAACCTGCCACATTTGCCAAGGGCCTACATTATCTAGTAAATACATTATCCACTAGCAAATACGTGGAAAAAATATTTTGGAAAACATCTGCCTCATTAACTAGATGATTCGAGACCTCCTCCTTGAAACTCCCTCCAAAAGAAAGGTAAATTTTTGTTGCTGCTGCGGCCTGTAGTACATATTCCTAAAAAGAATGTCGGAGTCAAAAGCTCAATGTTTGTTTTTGTTTTTTTTTTGGAGACGGAGTTGCGCTCTTGTTACCCAGGCTGGAGTGCAATGGCCCAATCTCAGCTCACCGCAACCTCTGCCTCCTGGGTTCAGGCAATTCTCCTGCCTCAGCCTCCTGAGTAGCTGGGATTACAGGCGCGCGCCACCATGCCCAGCTAATTTTTTGTATTTTTAGTAGAGACGGGGTGTCACCATGTTGACCAGGATGGTCTCAATCTCTTGACCTCGTGATCCACCCGCCTCGGCCTCCCAAAGTGCTGGGATTACAGGCTTGAGCCACTGCGCCCGGCCTTGTTTTGGTTTTTAAGGGAAAGAACAAAGTACTTTACCTTTACTGTTATTTGTTTTTATGAGAGAGGGTCTCTCTGATGCCCAGGCCTGGAGTGCAGTGGCACCGTCACAGCTCGCTGCAGCTTCAACCTCCTGGACTCAAACAATCCTCCCAAGGAGTAGCTGAGATCACAGGTGCATGCCACCATAACCGGCTAATTTTTTATTTGTTGTAGAGACAAGGTCTCACTATGTTGCCCAGGCTGGTCTCAAACTCCTGAGCTCAAGTGATGTTCCTGCCTCAGCCTCTCACAGTGCTGGCATTATAGGAGTGAGTCACCATATCTGGTCAGTACTTTACCTTTCATGTAGTAAGTGATCAAAGTCGTCAGTGACTTAAATTTATTTATACTAAGCCTTATTCAGAAAGAGCAAGACACCTTACAAAACTAGAGCCACGCAGACCCGGGCGTGATACAACATCCGGGTGGGGAGGGGGGAGCAGAGAAGCCACCCCAGGAGGAGGCATAAGATCCTAGAGGGGTGAAAGCCCAGCAGCTAGAATCAAGCGGCTGTGTCCAATTCCACCAGCACCAGCACTGTTCTCACACGTGCCCATTTTGCTCAGCCCCCCACTCTGCGGAGAAACCTGTCCTGCGTGTGGACTGTGGAATGTAGCTGAGGGACAAGCATGCAGCACAACTACGCTGCAGGATCCCAGTGTAAAGTGCCAGCTACCCATCCCCAGGGCCCTTGCCGCTGTCCTGCAATCCTGGTCCAATTCCCCAGTCCACTCACCCTCTCTCTACCTCCGTCAGCACCACCTCAACCCACCACCCGCCTCACCCCTGACACCCAGCTAAGTGTGACCCCCATCCCCCAGCCTCCCTGCGTAGCTCCCTACCCACTAGAGGACCAGCCTTCCAGGAGTCCTGGGGCCCTCCTCTCACCTGCACAGGAAGGCATTCCAGCTCTCATTCTCTCAAATGACCACTGTCCCCTCCCTGCTTGACCCTCACAAACACACTAACATCTACCACCTTAAAAAGAAGGCCCTCCCTCATCCAAATCCCTCTCCAGGTACCAGGACACCCCTCTGAGCTTTCTTCTGACCTCAGTAGGTACCCCTTCTTGTCACTTGCCAATTCCTCTTGACCTCTCAACACCGGTACACAGAGCTCAGCTCCCAACCCCTTTCTCCACTACCTAAACTCATATCCATACCACCTCGTCCAAATTTCACCTCGTGCTCAGAAAGACCTCCCAATGTATGCCCCCATCAGCCGCGAGTCCTGACTCCTGACTCCTGACTCAATACCTCAGCACTGCTATAACTTCCCCCTGAATATCCAAAAAGCACAACGGTTCAAACCCCAACTCCTGGTACCCACTGCAGCCCACGCCCTGCTCCCGCCGCCTCCCACCTCAGGACACAGCAATTCCATCTCCTTCTGGGCGTCAAGCCAACAGCCTGGCTGTCGGCTTTCACTCTTCCCCCTCACACCCCACCGCCAGTCCTTCAGCCAATCTGGGTGCTGCTGCCTTCAAAACATACCTAGACACCCGCCAGGTCTCCTACCTCAATCAGCTAGAGGCTACTGAGGGCTTGCCTGGAAGAATCCCTGCTCCGCTCTCATCACGCCGACCTTCTCTACACAGCACTGTCACCTTTCACTAACACCTGAGTCAGCTTATCAAATACCCCTGGTCCAACTTTCTGGCAAGTCAAAAAGACACAATCAACATTTTTGGCCAGGACATGAAACAATGGGAACTCGTGTACATTTCTTGTAGGGTAAAGGCTCAGCTGCTCTGGACGACCAGGTGGCAGTTTCTTTCAAAGCTGAGCATTATCTGTCCTAAGAGCCAGCAGGTCCGTCACACTACCTATTTGTTTACCCAAGGGAAAAAAACGTATCCATGAAAAGACTTGGACAAGCATATTCACAAAAGCCTTATTAATAGTGAAAAAAGAGCCAGGCGCATTGCCTCACCCTTGTAATCCCAGCACTTGGGGCAGTCGAGGTGGGAGCCCAGGAGTTCAAAACCAGTCTGGGCAACAAAGTGAGACAAACATTAGCAGAGTGTAATGGTATACACCTGTAGCCCTAGCTACTTGAGAAGTTGAATGGAAGGATCAGCTGAGCCCAGGAGGTGGAGGCTGCAGTGAGCCATGATCACACCACTGCCCTCCAGCCTGGGCATCAGAGAGACACTGTCTGAAAAGCTAGAAGTGAGCCGGGCACAGTGGTGCATACCTGTAGTCCCAGCTACTAGGGAGGCTGAAGCAGGAGGATCGCTTGAGCCCAAGAGCTGGAGGCTACAGTGAGCATACCATGACAACGCCTATGTACAATCACTGCACTCC